GTGTCATGTCCGCTTCAGTATAAATATTGCATCAGGTTCACTGTTTGGAAGTGTTTTTATGAGCAAATTATGGCAATGGAACCAAGAATCTGTTTCTGACACGTGTATGGAGAACAACTGATTATGTCTTCAGAAAAGCAATGACTTGAGAAAATGCGAGCGAATCTAAGGCCCGTATGCACGTACATCCCCGCGGGGAGGGGAGGGGATCTGAGAGGGGAAGCGTCATATTTCGCTACTCTGTATATCTTTCGTCTTCCTCCTTTATCTGTGATATGAAGGTTCTCATACCCTAATACCTGCGCGTAGTGGATGCCAGGTTATTGCCGTACAAGATCGGATTTTCACAACTTTGTGTGATCCCCTGGGGATCCCCAGGGGATCACCTCTCATTTTCAAAGTCAATTATCTTCCCACAAATTCATTGAAAATGTTCTAAATTTCTGCTGAGGGTATAATATGGTACTGCTAAACATGTTTATAGTAGAAATAAGGGAAATCTCAGGATATCGAAATTTTCGACGAACCGCTGCTCGCGAGCCAGGGATTATCGAAAAATTGATAATCTTCAAATTTCATTTCTTCTGTCAAAAACATGCTTAGCAGTGCCGTAGTATATCCTCAGTACAACTTTACGGTATTTTCATGGAGTTTTCAGCAAGATAAATGACTTCGAAAATGAGAGGTGATCCCCTGGGGATCCCCAGGGGATCACCTCTCATTTTCGAAGTATGAAAACCTTCATATCCCAGAAAAAGAAGGAAGAAGAAAGGTATACAGAGTAACGAAATAGACGCTTCCCCTTTCAGATCCCCTCCCCTCCCCGCGGGGATGTACGTGCATACGGGCCTAAGAAAGCGTAGCGAAGTGAATGAAAGTGGAATTGATGGAAGCATTGCGAGATGTATAGAAAAACAGCCGAGTAGAAGACCGCATGGCTGAAAAATAGCCTTCATCTTTTTGATGATTGATATGTTAAAGACTCACATTCAACCATGACAAGTACACTCGTGGAACGAGATAGTAAACCTAATAATTTGACTTTTCTAACCATTTGAGAAATTAAGAGAGATTTCGAAGTAGCAAGAATATACGGAAGTGTTATATAATTTCCACCATATAACCTGTACCTTATCCAGCGATGAAGCATTTACAATGTGGTATCCAAAACACTTGACATTCTCAAATTAGGAGATATCCGCCCTGTGAAAAACAGAAGAAATCTGAAGAGCAGATAAGATGAGTCTTTGAACTTGAGCGACAGTTGTGCTCTTTGTTGAGCCAGCCACGGTGCGGAGGACGGGCATGCCATCTGGCATCAGTATATCTCATAGTTTTTATAAGAAAAGCTATTCCATTATGATTTACTACCACCTGAGAGATTTATTACTCCTTTTTTGTTCCATCTGGCTGAGAAGATTTCATTGGATGCATTCCACTATTGCACATCTGCACCATCCTGCTGCTAGTCTGGTCTTCCAGTATAGTATTAACATAATGAATAATAACAGCTAGAATCCACCGCAGCCGCAGCAGAACAGAGACCAGGAGCCCCCCCCCCTCCCGATTTAGATCGGATGGTTTTGAATTGAACCAAGGGGTGAATTTCGGTGATCCAGCTTTGCGAAACAATCCACAACATTCTATTCTGCTATGGGGACGAAGGGAACCGGAACGACCAACGGAACTTTGCCGTTGTCCTATTGCCGCCTCGTTCATGCTTCAATCGTTCATCACATCGAAGGACCGCTGTCGAAATTCATTCAACTTTACGCGGTGATACAGCGATGGTTAGTTTATTGGCTCTGAGTGGAAAACCCAAGTTATTTTATACTTTTAGTAACACTGTCACGACCGTCAAGTCCGTATTATCAAGTCCATCAAGTCCGTTTTCAAAAAAGAAAAGAAGCTAACAGTTTCCTTTTTTTGTGATTGGTTTTATAAATGTTTCTTCTTGTCTGTGTTTTAATCTCAGAAGGGTCGGTCGAATCCGGTTCTTATCTTTACCTTTATAATCAACTAGTTGACTTTCCCGGTCCAGCCCGGGCCTTTTTCCGTTCACCTGCACTGCAAGCGCTCTCCCCCTTACGTGTTATGGATGACTTACCCCGGCACATCCGCTTCGAAACCGCATCCTCGTGATCCCGAGGTAAAAATGAGCTTCACCGCCTTCCTTCACTTGATTATGGAGAAATGCTTGATTGAACATGATAAGCCTTCAATCCCTTAAAAAACGTAAACAAATCAATAAATCGATAGAAGGACCCTACGAATCGCCTCAAAAAGTAGCCTATCATCTGCGCAGGGGTCGAAAACATATGTGTGCAAAGTTTCAGCCAAATCGGTCGAACGGCGCGCGTTTCTATAACGCACATACCCTCCAAACTGACAATTTTTGAGTTTTATATATAACCTCGAGTCATTTGTAACTTAATGTGTGAGATTGCACACTATACCCTATCAGCGACGGCACCCATACTTGTAACTTCCCAGAAAAACATTTTCTAGTCCAGCAAAGTGTAGAAATATGTTCTGCTAACTAACATGTAACCAATAAAAACAAGACAAATAAGGAAAGAAGGAGAAATCACAGGAAATGAGCATGTTCTAGTTTTGCAGTTCGTCAGTTAGTGTGTAGTGTGTGTACTAGGCATATTAAGGTACAAATGACTCGACGATATATATATATATATATATATATATATATATATATACATATAGATTACATATTTTTCCAATTTTCCCACAGATTTATCAATCAATTTTTTGGGTTTTCCGTGGTGATCTCGTCTGATCTTATCTTTACCGGGACTCACTAATGTAAGTTCAAAATTTTCATTGAACAACCATAAATGAAATTGTTTAGCATGACGACAACGAAAAAGGCGTCTCTTTTCTCACTCTTATCAAGAACTTGCACATTAACATAAGTGTGCTGGAGCTCATTATCTTGGCACTTCAAATTCAAATCATAAGTTTTAGTTTTTATTTAGGAAATAAGAAATAATGATTTCAGTTTATCCTCGGCTGGCTGTCGGCGCGCAGATACGTGCTCAGAAAGATTAGAGGACCTCAGACATTTGCCATTGACTCCCACAGGAGATTCGCCCACAAAATAGGTAGTCGCACCAAAATCCGGTGCACCGGCGGGAGTCATCGTTTTAGTTTTTGTCCCAATTATGGTATGATTTTGTCACGATGCGCTGCGCGTGCATATGATAGTGGAGTTTTATCTTTTGAGTGATTGATTTGTGCTGATTAGTGCTCTTCTCTTCAATGATTCTGCTTTTCTCCTTCTTTTAAATTGTTTAAAATCGCTCATTGACATCATCAAAGAATTTTAATAGCGTAGGCTGGTTATCATCTACAAACGATATCATCTGTCCTATGAATCTTAAGGGGACTGTGACACCCGCCGGGGCCCAAAGTGTATGTGTGCCAAGTTTGGTCCGGATCGGTTAAGAAATGGAATTTTTTATTCGGAACATACGGCGGAGCCGGGTAAGCCAGCTAGTGAATGATATTGTTTGACTAAGCAAGTCTAATCATTGACATTATATCTTTTCGTCGGTATATAGCACATTTGTCAAAATACAATTCGCTGTTTTCATAATTAAACTACCTTGTTTCAGATTAGACGACGTGTCGAAACTAGACTTCACTTATGATTTGTGCGATTTTGTTCAAGATCGAAGGTGCGACCCTTTTTTGATTTGTATCGAGATGTCCTGACTCTTTTCAACTCGGTAAAACCTGCAGAATGATTTTTAAAATTTGAGGTTGTATCTAAAGCAAGCTCTACGAAACAGCTTCCAAACGCATACAAAAAATTTTATCTCAGTTAACTCAAAAGGCATATGAAATTCTTCAAGTAGAATCTTTGAAAGTCGGACACAGATATCTAGCGGGCCTCTTACTCTCAGGCATATGCTTTCCACGTCGGTCATTCATATTAGGTTGAAGTTCTTTCGCAGTTCAGCAAAGTTTAGATAACTTTCCAAATTTCACATTCAATCAACGGCTTCGTATTAAAAAAAAACAAGAAGCTATGAGGTTGTTGCATTATTCTTGTCGCGCTTTGACTTTTTACCTCAATGCGCTTTGACTTTTTACCTCAATAAGTCATACAATTCTTTCATCAATAGAGCCCAGGATGTCATTCGAAACAGCGAAGCAAGTTTGCATGATGGTTGAGTTCATAATAACGCATCAGTACACCGCGAGAAACGGACTAGCGCTATGTGGAAAGGTAGAATTCTACGGTTATACTTCCCAAGGCTTATACAGCTACTCACGTAAACACAGCATAGCTCGTTTTTGTGAAAGCGTATTTTTGATCTTTTGGTATATATCAGGTCGTTCTGAAATTTCTCTCCGTTTTTTTGATGTTGCGTAAAAACGCGGGAATAGTTATGAGCACTTCCTGGAACTGTTCGAGGCAGTTTTTCTTCTTCTTTCCAGCAGTAATGTTTGGGGACCATTTGCTTGTGTGGTCACAAAGTGCGGAAGTTTTGAACCCATAGTTTTTATCATGATCGGTTGGCAACTTTTCACATTTTTTCTTTCTGGAAAAGTCTACTTTACAGCTGAATAGAGCAAAAAAAGTGCAACACTAAAATTTTTTTGGCACTTCCAGCTGGCTTTTCAAAATTACTAAAAAATTTTCGGTGTCAACAAATTCTATATTTGGTTCAACCAAACCTCACAGAACATTGAAACAAGCAACTGGGGCACTATTCGTCTGTACCCAAGATCAAAAGATTAGCGCATCATCATGGGGCTTTACGGATGTGAACACTTCTGAAAAAGTTCGAAGTTCAGAGTTCAAGTGCACAGAAGAAAGTTGGAACAAAAACAAAACAAAAAAGAACAGAACAAAAAAGAACAATAAAAAAAGAACAAAACAGAACAAAAAAAGTTCGAGTTCAAAGGACATTGAAACAAGCAGCTGGGGTACTATTCGTCTGTACCCGAGATCACAAGATTAGCGCATCATTACAGGACCATATGGATGTGAACATTTCTGAAAGTCCGCGAGAATGCGGCCACTGGGCCGCAACTTACCCATAGAAAACCGCGATAGTTCTCCGACCGTTCGTCTAAAATTTGGCCAAAATTATTCCAAATTTCTGCAAGCGGACCTCAAGAAATCAGCGAACTATTTTTCCGTGCCCACTTGCTCAAAATTCGCATGGCCGCCTGCTTCCGGCGAGAGGTGGCTTTTGCCTTACATGATCATTTGTCGTAAATAATTCAAAAATTTCAGAGAAAGTGTGTCGAAACCGCAGGTAGCACCAACACAGAGAGTATGATCGGAGGACTAAATGCGTCGAAGATGAAGACGTCTAGACTTTTGATAATGTTGTGCATTTGTGGTTGCTAAGGTATTGTCTCAGGTCCGTGATAAGCAAATATAGAGCTCTTTTCTGAAGATTCTATTCGCTGCCATTTATATCAGTTTGCTTGAAAAACCTGCTCAAATGATGTCTTGTATTGTTCAATAAATTTTGCAACATAAGATGGTTTTTTACGAACAGAAGAAAGAAAGGCGAAGAGAGGAGACCAGTGGTATAAGGAAAGGGAAGAAAGAGGCGTGAGAGGACGCAAGAAAGAGGCCATTAAAAGGAGCATAGGCTGCGTTTTCTAAACGCGATCGAGACATTATCGTGCGCCCCGCAGGTGTTCCGATTTTGTCCGGAATGCGTCGGGCGCGATACCTGATTTTGTCGCGCACTTTTGTCCCGAAACAAAATCAGGTGTCCTGAATTTGTCCCGACACCGATTTCGGGAGTCACGCAAGCATTCCCTACACCTCGTTTTATCCTGCGCAAGTCAACGAGAATGTCTGAGGGGAGGTGAGGGTGGGGGGGGGGGGCCTTCTCCCGATGTCGTACCCGCGTATTCCAGTGCTGGAATATCCCACCACTGGTCGCTGCGCCACAACTGTCTGAGAAGAGATCGTGTTCATTGTATGTTTTTGTGGATGTGTTGCCTATAATTCTTTCTGTTAATGTGTTGACTATACAGGGCTCCTAAATTGCAGAGTCCTCTGCATCAGCGGTCGCGCGACCGCCTCGCGCCCGGGCATCAATGGCGCCGCCTCGATCGATGGCGGCAGCGCCGGCAAAATGCCCGGGCGCAACGCGGCGCAAACGACTCTGCAACTTAGTGTTGTTTGAAGATTGTGTTGCTAACAATAAGAAAGGCGAGAGCTGGGGGGGGGGGGTGGGAGGGGGGGATCGTTGCGGGTGTATGTCAAGAGGCGCGATTCTTATTGCCAGATGGGCAGCCTATAGCACATCTTTAGTGTTTTACAAAGTTCTGAAACATTTGAAATCTCAGACGAAATATTTTTGATAATCGCACAGGTTGCTCCATCTTATCATCCTGAAATCGATTTCAAACAAAATTATTGAAGATCAAAAACCCCTGGAAATGCAGTTAGTAGCAATTTTGTACATAATCCGGTCAGTTTTCTAGCAAAAGTCGTCAAACTTATCAGCTGGTTACTTCAAACAGTTAGTAAGCCATGGAATTTGTCCGGCACTTTTTAAACCCTCCCATAGCCCGAAACCGGAGTTTTAAGTGACAGCCAGAAAAATCGCGCCTCTTGACCGTCTCCCGTTTTCTGCTGGGCAGCACCTGACCCCTTGCTCAACCCTGCTGATCAGCAACCGTTGTTGCCGACTTGTTGTTGCATGTGACATGTTCGGTGTCATGAAGAAAGCGCACTCAAACGCGAAACTTCGCGCAAATCGGTTTTCAAGAAGTTTGGACGAATTCGAAACGCACAAGCGTACCCTGATCGGCGACGCGGCAGCGACGCGCAGTTTTCTCCGCCGAGCGCGACAGTAAGCACGAACTTAGTTTTCTCGCTTTTTGAAGTTTCAGACGCCGATCTTGTGCGCTTGCGTGTTTCGAATTCGTCCCGACTTTCAAGCTTACGATTATTGGAGCATGTAGGAAGGGCAGAACTGGAACCCTTGGTTTTTTGTGACTTCCTTGCATGCACTATTTGCGTTTAGCGTACCGGTGATGTTCCACAATAAAGTGGAATATCAGTAAAGTCGTAGATGTATGACAATGGTGGAAAGCAAAGTAAGACCGCTTAGCGGAGTTATACGTGCTGATTGTTTACCGATGAAGTATTCTTTCCAGCCTTAATTTATAAACTCAGTTGTTAACATTACTAACAAGGAGAGGATACTTAGTCGAAAGCACCAATTTAGATGAGACATATATCTTCTTGAAGCGCTTGAAACGCTGATTCCAGATCTGTAATTTCTAGCAGCGGAGCGCTTTTGTATAAGGAGTTATGAGAAGTGTTTCTCTCTAGGGTTGAGGTGACTCCCAGCAGGTCTCCCCCTATCTATGAGCACTGTAGAGGAGTACCAACTGGTGGCAACTAGCCTAGTGATAAGTACTTTGAATGAAGATCACAGTAAGGATTATAATACTCGGTACTTTGGTTTTTCAACATTTATAACTTCGATTAGCATCAATATTCTAAAACCATTGAAAAGCTTAACTTTGCCAAAATTGCGATAAAGTTGCATGCGGAGGGAATTAAAACCTTGACACTCTCCTTATCAAACAAGTCGCTTACCACTAGGTTAATTGCCACTCCTCTACAGTGCTCATAGATAGGGGGGGGGGGACTTGCAGGTGGGCGCCTGAACCCTAGAGGAAAACACCCCTCATAACTCCTTATACAAAAATGCTCCGCTGCTAGAAAATATAGATTTGGAACCAGCGTTTCAAGCACTTTAAGATGATTTATGCCCCATTTGGATTGGTGCTTTCGACTAAGTATCCTCTCCCTGTAAGAAGCGAAAAGTTACGGCTTCTTTGCAAACTTGTTGCCAATTCTGGTCTCACCTGCTTGTAAGGGTAGAAAGCAGAAAAGTTCAAATTGGTTTTCGAATATAGTTTTCACTAAAAGCTGGAATTCGTTAGAAACTAGTTGTGGTCCTACACTACTACTATATGCAATATGTACTTTGAGGCTTGAAACCATATGAGGATCTTTATGACAAAGTCAGATCAGCTATGAGGTGTGAAGTTCCTGAATTGCCGCTCATTATTCGTGAAAAAAGAATCGCGGCGGCTGTGCTTAAACGGCCTCCGCCGAAGTTCACCGAAATTTTCTCATCAGGTCTCTGTTCAGAGTGGACTAGTTCTGAAGGTTACCATCCAGCTACTTCGACATGGCACGCCTTTGTATATACATAACTGCTTTAGCTTAGGGTACAGCAGGTAACGTGGAAGATAGTTTTCAGATTCTTTTCCACTTTTTGCTTACATAGGCTGCTCACTGTGACGATTACAAATTGTTTGATGCCAGAGGACATTGCGAGACGCGGTGGGGGTGGATCTTATATATAAAGCTGAATGTCTGTTTGTCTGTCTGTATGTCTGTCTGTCTGTATGTACGTATGTTCCGAATAGAAAATTCCATTACTGAACCGATCCGGACCAAACTTGGCACACATACACTACGGGCCCCGGCGGGTGTCATAGGCTACTTTTCGTCATCGATCGATATCGATTTTATCGATTTTTATCGATTTTTTTGCTGAGTTCACCTACGGGGCTGGGAGTTGGCACAGGGGGGTAATCGAGCATGGGGATTCCGAATACAATATTGGTTTTCAGGATTATCGATTACTTTTATCGATTTTATCGATTTTTTTGCAAAGTTTGAGCTACGGGGCTGGGAGTTGGCACAGGGGGGTAATCGAGCATGGGGATTCCGAATACAATATTGGTTTTCAGGATTATCGATTACTTTTATCGATTTTATCGATTTTTTTTTGCAAAGTTTGAGCTACAGGGCTGGGAGTTCGCACAGGGGGGTAATCGAGCATGGGGATTCCGAATACAATATTGGTTTTCGGGATTATCGATTACTTTTATCGATTTTATCGATTTTTTTGCAAAGTTTGAGCTAGGGGGCTGGGAGTTGGCACAGGGGGGTAATCGAGCATGCTGATCACCCCCAAGGGGGGTGATCAGCATGCTCGATTACACCCCCGTGCCAAATTCCAGCCCCCTAGCTCAAATTTTCAAAAAATCGATAAAATCGATAAAAGTAATGGACGATCTTGAAAACTAATATTGTATTCGTAATCTGCATGCTCGATTACCCCCCTGTGCAAAATCCCAGCCTCGCAGGTCAAACTTTACAAAAAAAATCGATAAAATCGATAAAAGTAATGGACGATCCTGAAAACTAATATTGTGTTCGTAATCAGCATGCTCGATTACCCCCTGTGCAAAATCCCAGCCTCGCATGTCAAAATTTACAAAAAATCGATAAAATCAATAAAAGTAATCGATAATTCTGAAAACTAATATTGTATTCGGAATCCCCATGCTCACTTCCCCCCCTGTGCCAACTCCTAGCCCTGTAGGTGAACTCTGCAAAAAAAATCGATAAAAATCGGTAAAATCGACATCGATCGATAACGAAAAGTGGACTGTGACACCCGCCGGGGCCCGAAGTGTATGTGTGCCAAGTTTGGTCCGGATACGGCGGAGCCGGGTAAGCCAGCTAGTTTGCAATAAAACAAATCACCATAAACAATTCGCCTTTCACTTTTCAGCAATTGTGTTCTCGATTTGGTTGCTCCCCGAAGTCACCAAGGCTCAACTTTTCACCATGTGCAACTTTGACTAATTCTCATTCTTTATTAGGACCCCAAACATAATTTGCTAACCGGCGGATGAGTAAGCATTTCGCAATTCAGTGCCTTTTTTCAGTCTATGCGGCCTTTCTAAATTAGTAAAGGTGACATTTCGTCGTGACCAAATCCGTCAGTGGGAATTTGACCCTCAGATGTAACGATGCTTCTCCACTGCGTGATATTTCGGTGAAATCAGACTGTGGAGAAAGCCTCTTGGAGATTCGCGGACGAAATCCAAAACCATCTACTATGTGCGCATGGCTGTACCCGAAAATTCCAGACATCAACATTACAAAGTGTGATTCCACTCTGTGACAATAGTACTTGATGCTAATCGAGTTCGGAAACCCCTGTCGAAAACGAATTCGGAAAACACAAGCGTACTAAGATCGACATCTGAAACTTCAAAAAGCGTTAAAAACAAGTTCGTGCTCGCTGTCGCGCTCGGCGGAGAATACTGCGGTTGCTGCCTCGTCGCCGATCAGGGTACGCTTGTGCGTTTCGAATTCGTCAGAAGTTTGCATGTCCGCTGCGGTACTCCCCATTTTACGCCGTTTACCTTCGTTGGAAGAACTCATCGGATGGTTTCATGTTTAGGTAAAGAGCTTATACATATAGAGTTGCTGTTCAGTGATTATTGCTAGATCGATGCAAATTTAATTTCAGTCTTTTATCATTCTCTTCTCCAATCAGTTGTACAGAATCATGTTCACTGCTTCCATAATGAGCCCTTGTGGTATTTATTTAGTTTCATGTAATGGGAACTGAAGAGCCGTTATGGAGGTTTCGTTATCCACAGCGAGTTAGAGCGAATTTGACCGACTTAGAACCCGCTTTTCGACATCCTTTACTTCCTCCTTCTGCTTTTCTGCGCAAAGAGACTCCACAGCAGTCTCAGGAAGAACCGAAATACGACTTTGTAGACCCATTGGGTTTGTTCATAGCAAGCTTATCACGCATGCTCTGAGCTTTCTCGATTTCAGGCGCAACAATCGAGGAGGAACTGCCCGCAAATGTTACTCGACTTGACTTGGATGCTTTGGAGAATATACAGCCGAAAAAGGAGCAGATCTTAGATAACACTCTAGAGACTAAGAACAAGGATGGGCCAGTAAGAGGTAAGCGGTCAAGTTAATGTGACTCTATGTTCGCTTTATCCTATTCAGACGTTGAACTTGTGGATTTTGAACCCTGGAGATCGAAACGAGCTCAAATCTTGAACGAACATGAAGCCACAGACAAGAAGGGTGCATACTCTACCTTCGGTTCGGCATCTCCAGCAAAATTCACAATGAGCAGTAAAACGAGGCATAGGTATGTGGCCGACTTCCTTGATAGTTGTCAGCTTAAACCCACTTATTCAACTTTTCAAATGTAGATTGGAGGTGCTAGAAGACATGTCTGGTCTACGCAAACTATCCGACATCTCGCAAAACGAGCTGATTGTGCATATCAATGACCTTCGTGAGAAGTTTCTTGCGGCTTGGGAAGACAATCAAAGAGTCGAGTCTGTTCGGGTAATTTTTTCTTCTTTCGATCTGTTGTCAATTCTTCAGTTAATTTTCAATTGTTATATTATGCCGTACAAGTTGTTATAGATGATATACTTTATTGCCCGACGTTTCGGCAAGACGCCATCTTCGGGCAATAAAGTATATCATCTATAACAATCTGTACGGCATAATATAACAATTGAAGTTATTCATCCCCAGAATATGCCAAGGTTCAAAGATAAGAGGACTTACAACATACATCTTGAGTTTATGTTTTTGTAAAATTTTCAAAATTGTTTTCCGCTCCAAGAAAGCAAAAATTCCAAACAAAAGTGGACGTTTGGAGAAGTTTTTCCGAAAGTCTCTTCAGATCATGGTGGAGCTCTCACGAATGTTATCGGCTCCAACTACTCCAAACTTCTTTCCCGTTCAGTGGGTGCTTGTAACCGATATTTTGGATTTATTTGGAAATCTCGTTTATGAACGTTTGCTAACAAAAGCGAATGAGGTAATCTTACGTTTAGTTTATTTTCTGCCATTTGTAGAAGTACCCCGCTGTTATAATGGGTAGTTTCACTTCAATTCCTAGGAAAGACAGGCGGCAGGCTATTCTCTTTTATCAAGCAACTTTGTATCGAACGACATACTGCCAGACACTGTAGAGGTTGCTCAGAACTGGTTTTGCAAAATCGCCGACATAAAAGAGGCTGTACCAAGATTTTATGGTAAGTTCCATGCTTACTGTATTTTTCCTACTTTTCAAAATAGTAGAATTAGATGGTGCCTATAATTTGCAAAACCTTCTGCAAATCAAACACACCACAAGTAAGCTTCAAATAAGATGATAGAGAAGCTTGATCGTATCAGCATATCTGGCGGCTTTTCATGTTTTCTCTAGCTTTTTTGCTTTAACTTACAATATTCAAAATTTTTGGAGGCAGCAATACTTTTTGTTTCAGTAGAAACCACGCTGATAGGATGTTTGCGTTTTCTGGACAGTATAACTATGCGTGTACATCTTCTGCGAATGGCCACGATGGTGGAATGTGAGCTTTTTTTTCTTCGTGTTCACAGTCATCCAATGTCTTATTGCGGAAAACTTTTCCTGTTCAACCATTTGACATTTGAACAATGCTGTAGCAGTCAGGTTCATATTGAAAATTCACGGTAACAGCAGTTGATGTTCACTTTCTAATTTGAACTAGCATATTTTAGTGTTTTCTCATCCGTTGTCAGCAGCATATGCTCGTGCCTATATTTGCAAAATTGCAATGATTCTTGAGCCTACTGATCGAGGGCCACATTGGAAGGCGCTCAATGACTGGATGCAAGCATCAAAGCCACCCGTAAGCTCTCAGTTTTCTAACTGTGGTGAAGACCCGATTGTGGACTACCTGCAGACCGAGTATGTCGCTCCAGCTCTTGAATGGATTGTTCAATGCGTGTCTTACGGTGCCGCAACCATCGAAGATCTTGGTCCACTATGGGAGTACTGTAAGCAGTCAGAACAACGTGGCATGCTTCTCCATGCTTTTGTGTTGTCAATCCCGCTCAAGTACTTGCTCAATCATTGCCTGAAAGTGTGCGAAATAGTGAGCTATAATTCTCATTCCGAATATTCTTGAATGGTTGCATTTGTTTCTTTTTAATCGTTGTAGCTGGTTTTCCAACAACGCCCCGCTGAAGATTTTGAAGTTTTCGGCAAGCGTTTACTGTCCGGTGAGACGCCAGAGGAAACACGTTTTGAGATACTGCGGTAGGTTGCAAATCTTGTATCTTTACCCTTTGACTTCTCTCAATTTTCTAGGTTGGTGCTACCGTATATCTCCAAATTTGAAGGTAGTGACTTTATGAGATGCTGTGTGGTGTGGAGCAGATTTATTAGCAGGTAGTTATCCTCCTCAAAAAAAAAAACTCAAAATAAAGTTATGTCATGCATTGTGACTCCTCTACTATCACGCATTTTATTGACATTTTAGGTACTTTTCGGTGAAGGAAATATCAGATCTGTGCGAATTAACGTTTGTTAAGACAAGGAAAAGCAAGGTGAAGTTTTGATCCAAAGCTCTTACTTGTGTTAATTCCATTCTTTACCACCCTTTTGTTATTCACCTTCCCCTTTCAGAATCCAACTGACCATTTTGCTGAACTAGTCATCATAGTGGAAAGCATAATGGAATGTCGAAGCGAAGACCTCTCAACCGTGCTCAAACTGAAGCCTTTTGTTGACATACTTGACTATGTGAGGTAATAGGGCTTATGATGTGCTAATGTATTTTCAACATTTTCTATCGCAGAGATGAACCATATGGGTCAAAATGTGCAAGGTCTGTTCTAACGGCTATCATACATGCGTTCCAAGTAGAGGCCGTTGACGATTTGATTATCGTGGATAGGGTTGGTGAGAATTTTTATGCACATTATCACGAACCTGTAGTTTTGCAGATAGTTGAGCAATGCAGTCGCTTGTGTTTGTCGATCCGTCCTGATTCGATCCATGATGAGGTAAGGCCCACCTTCCCTTTAATTTTTTATGTGATTTTTGCGCTTTTTTACTCAGATAATCTGAGAATTTCTGAGAACATGATCTTTCCCTTGATATACCCCGGGTAATCCCTGTCTAACCAAGGTGAAAATCGTTGATCGGATTGTGTCGTCTGCACTGGATCGACCAATGATAGCTGAAGATCCGGAACGACATCTGGCATTTCTTGTTCGAGCTCGCTCGGTTCTCTACCAGAGTGATGATATCATTGCCGTGAGTCCCTCGCAGTTTCATTCATATTCGATTTTTGTATGTCTTTGTATTTTTAGCATATTCTTATGCTAATGATTTCCTTTGCTTTGCAATTTTACGAAAATCGGCCTGCATCCAATAAAAAGGCTACATTCATGAGGTAATCTTTGACAGTGTTCCTTTTATGTGAACGTCTGCAATAAATTCAGGGCACTTATTTCTAATCTGTTTATAACCACACCCTCCATCAAAGATCCAGTCGTGCGATTACATTTTACTTTGCGAACAATATACTTGAGCCTTTTGGCAAACTCCCGACCCCAGGTTAGTTTATGATTGGGGACCGGTCATTAGAATTCCTTGTACCTTTAGACGGAAGCTCTTCTTCATTATTCCCTACAAACATTGAACGATCTCGATGTTTCACCAGCTCAATGCTTATCATTATATTCACAATTTCTTGCTCTTCTTGTATTTATTCCGGACACGTCCAAGGATAAACCATTGCTCATGTTTAATGAATTTGTTAAAGTTGTTCAGAGGTGAGCGTTGGTTTTGCATCTCATAGTTTGTGTTCTTTTATTCTTGTGTTTACTTGTAATTTAAGAAGCAAAGAGTGTGTTACAGAAAGAAGTGGCCGCAGAATAGTGAAGGTGTGCTTGGGGATGTTTGGATAATTTGTTTGCGATACCTCTGGGCGGTGTCTCGTCGAGAGTTTCCCGTGAAATTCACCAATGTACAATCTAATGATGTTTTTCATGGATCAAGTGGAGAATATAGGTGTGCAATTTGCTACGACAGCAGAAGTCTCGTATATGTTTTCTGTTTTTTTAGCACTGCCATCATGGCGAACCTTGATTTCATAATGCAGCAACTACTTGCGTTAATTGAAACTCAGTCACCTGCGAAACCAACCGTCGCACTCCATCTTCTCGAATTTGCGGTTCTAAAGTTGGAACTCCGAGGACCGGTATGTGACGCTGTTCTCAAAATATTTCGTCATTGGTTGAATTTTCCAGGTTGTAAAACTCGTATCCAATCTCTTGAAACGCTGTGCCAAAAGCGGGCAATTCGAAGTACGTGTGCGTTGTATTATTGATGACCTGATAAAGTTATCCGAAGCGAACGAAGAAGTGAAGCAAGCTCTAGTCAAATTGAAGTTATTATGAACCGAATTTGATTCAAAAGTCTCTTAAAATGCTGACAATAGATGTGATCTTGTATACGTGTAATGTCATTCGTGTCTTGTCCACTATTTGCCCATATAATTTATCGATAAAACTGCCATATCAGTGGTGTTTGTTGTTTTATGTCTGTGAGCGACGTCGCTGAAGATTTTGAAGGCAAGGGTTAGTAGAAACTTCAGTCAGCATTTTCTTATGTTGATATGAACTTCCTTCTATTATACCTGAACCAACTTCAGCAGCAGAAGCGCTAGCATCGGCCACAATTTCAAATCATTCAGAATGTTCAGTGATGATGAGGACTTTGACACTTATTTATCTGACGTCGATAGCTCTCCAGAAAAGAATGTAACGAAGAAGAACGGGTTAGAAGAAAAACAGTTCCACGAACTGATGGAAAGATGCGAAGAATTGAGAAAGAGAATGAATGATGTAGATGAACTTGCGCGGCAGGTGATTTTTGGCAGTATCTGCTTTTCTGTTTGTGGGCCGTAGGCCGTGTTGGAGGCAAAGAACGGGCGTCGCGTGGAAGAGTAGTATGAATTGCGTTTTTTCCTCAAGGTTTTTTGCTTACAAAACTAAGTTAATAAAAAAGGTAGCCAGCCATTCACCTTTATGTGGGTCACAGAAAATATGTGAGGGCTATTTTTTGTACTAAATTTACAGTTCAAGTTGTAGGTGAAATTTGCCATGGAGCTGCAAAAGCAAATGAGCGACTGTTATTCAAATCGCATTACGTCGTTTCCTATTGAGACGGGTATGGAGGTAAGCGTATAAATCACTTATGACATTGCATGTTCTGTTACAGAAACGTACAGAAAGATTTCTAGTTCAAATTTCATTTTAGCTGCGGTGTTTAGCATCCGGCTCTCTGATGCTTCTTTTTACGATTTACAATAAGACCTCAAATGATCTCAAGGGCTGGTCAATCTCTGCTTCTTTGTCAACGGCAGTGGCTGATACTGTCAGTGAGTTTGTTACTCAGTCACGGAGCCCTTTTGTAGATGACTTGGTTCGCACTATATCTAGAATTTTGTTGTTCACCTTTTTCAGCCAATCGAAATCAAACTTTGCAGATACCTGTCCCTCCTTATCGCAGAGCATAGCTTTGCAGACGCTTGCAGCTGGTGAAGAATTTTCTTCAGAGCTCTTCGTTGCCCAGCAGCACCTTCGATTGCCGCTAGCAGTGCGCTTGAACCTGATTAGGTGAGACATTTCAGCTTTGGTAAAATACTAGCTGACGTTGGATAAATTCAGAAAACACATTCGACGTTTTTTGTTTGTGATTCAAATTTATCATTTTCTTGTAAACTGATTTACCAGGAGTTTCAACATAGCCGGCGAAGAGAAATTTATTGTGATTGAACTTGATAGTGCATATTTGTCGCTGAGAGACTTGCTATTTCCTGCACAGTCCCCTCCCCAGCAGGGTCAAGATAAGAGTAAAGCTACAATAATTGGAGTGAGTACTTTCTGTGCATTTCCAACAGTTGTTAAAATTCTTTCTGTCACAGGGCTTTTCACTGAGAATTCCGTGTGCATTGATAGATCTTTTATCTGGCTGTCCTGATGACAATGACCCCGTCAATGTTTTGCGGATTATTCTGCCTCGACATCGTTTCTCTCTTGCTCCGGGTTGCTATTCTATTAGTGTCATTTTGGTTGAGAATCCATTTGATAAACATTCACTCCATATAGAGATTATAAGGGAAAGCAATAGTTTTGTTGTACATGTTAACTTACGGGACGCTTCGTTACGAAGTCGTTTAAGGGAGTCACTACAATTACATATTATCCATTTATCGTTACGTGTAAAAAAGCGTCCTCCTAATTCTGTAACTATCGTAAATGATAGTCATACTGTTGATGAACTGTATGAAAATGTGATATCTTCGTTTCTGTGACAATTACCACTATTTTAAAATAAAAGATATAGCTTATTTGTTGTCTGTTTTTACGAAAATGGTGTTGTGTTTCATTCTATCTGTAGCAAAAAAATTCTCACTGCAGACTATCACTATCGAGCACATCAAGTTCTCCTTTTTGTTCCTGGTCCCCAGAATTTCTGGTTTCCTCTATCTGCGCTCGAGTTCACATATTATAATTGATTAACTGCTCTCTTTAAACGGCGAGGATCTTGCCATTGTTTTTTCACTCCATTGATTTTGCATTGACTCGATGTCCGAACTGAAGAAGCTAGAAGCTATTGCATCTTGTAAGCTCATTTCTTACAATTTTATGTGAAAGCACCTCTGAAGCTATATTTCTACACTTGGGGTATCGCCAAAACATCTACACCTGTAGCTCATTTGGCATCTTTCTGATCTCGTGCTAGATTTTTTTTCTGTTGGTTAGCAAAAATTTGATTTCAATCGGCAGTTAAAATAGGACTAAAAATTTATAGAACGTGAAGTGATTTTGATTATTTTTTGAAATATTCTCTTAAACAGTATGCTCTTATTTTTTTACTGAAAAACGTTATTCCGGTGTTTTTCTTTTTATCTCAGTTGTTGTTTCACGAATCAACCTCATAAAAACGCCTTCCTCTGAATCGTTGCCATGATTTTCGGTTCCCCATGTGCCATCTCATTTCCAAGTCTCGAGTTTATTCAGTATAAAAATATCAAACAAAGTTTTTTTGAACATTTCGTAAGCCAAAGCACTCTGATAGAACCGTTCCTGAGTTTTGAATTTATATTTAGTATATTTTATCCATACCTTGTAATTGTTTATTAAGATATCTATATTGACCCTTCTGGTAGAATTTGTAATCTTTCCATGTTTCCCCATATTTACGGTAAGCTATATATTTTCCAAGTTTATCGGAAAGGAGGGCTTCTATTCTTACACAAATCATTAGTGTGTTTTTTTTAAACAGAACTTTTGAGATTGTATTCGGCTACATTATTTTCACATTGACCCTCCACATACGATTGCGGCGGATTACGAACACCTCTTGTCCATGGCTGCTGCTCTGCATTCATCAAGACGCACTATGCGCAAATTCTGGCGGAAATGGAGCTCAGAAGCGAGTCGAGCCGCTAATTGCATTTGGACACGGCGTCACGTCCATAACGTTAAACCAATCCGCTATGCTTCTGCGCAGCTATAGTTCCGTTCAAATTTTGAAAAGTCTGGCTTGAAGAAACAAGGTGGGAACCGACTGAGGTGAGAGTGTTTATACTTTTTCTTTTTCTTGTTTTTGATCTGCCAGTGAATTCTTTCCATTCTTCGGTCAAAGTTCATGCTAGGATTGAACAGTTGACGTTTCACTCCAGTGCGGCCGTGACGGCGAGTAATTTTTCATTCACAGCAGCTGAGTCTTTGCCAAACTGATCACTGCACTGAATGTTGCGTGGCGGCAGCCGCTCGCTGCTTTCCATCATTGTGACCCGGCCGAATCACGGACGGGCCGGCCTGCTGGCGCCAGATCATCGTCAAAGCTCTGCTCCGGTGCCGAAAATCGCACTCGCATCGCTCAAGTACAGCTACGGACCTTAGACGACCGTATACACACTCTTGAGCCCCATTTGTCATCGCGCGGCGAAGCGATGGATGTCTGGCTAATTGCTGCTGGCTGCAATGAGTTCATCGTAAATGGTCACCTCATTACCGTACGCAAACGTTTTTTTTGTCGAAATTTTCGAGTGCTATCCGGTTTTGCGGCCGATGCAGATTTGTCTGAAGAGCCGTTCGGTGCGGAATCTCGCATTCATCCTCAGTTTGTCGAGTGCTTGAAGCTCTTCCAAAGTTCTTTAGTTCTCTCTCGAAGCCTATCCCACTAGACCTGACATTTTTATAGCTGAGATCTCACTAGCACTGTGAAATATACTTGCCATTCAGCTTCCAATCACATGGTGCAATTGCACTATGCGCATTCTCAAACGTCTGCCAACCAATTAAAGATGTGAAAAAAAATTCTTCAGTTTACTGTTAAACACTTAGCTCGACAAACTTCGTATGACTTGGCTCAACAGAGTTTTCTTACAGGCAGCTGATGTCATGGTTTTTCTCTGCAGTTGCACCAAAGACCCAAGTTTTACTGAAAGTATAAGTGTGTGTATGTGATTAAATTGTTCCTTTCTGCAATATACGTGTCTATTTATCTTGTTCGCTCATATCTATGAGAATCAGATATGCAGTGAATTTTATGGGCTGCTAATTGGTCGTTTGATATCCTTATTAACCCAGATAGCGGGAACAGCGTGCAGGGATCCGCTCAACCCATTCTGAACAGGGATTTTACTGCTTCTGTCCTCTTCCTCTATAAACAGTATCTTTGATAAAAGCTTCGTTTCAAGAAACATTCTGGTTTGTGTCATAAAGGTACACCCGCATGAGAGGAATACTGCCTTAATTGAGGCTCATCTTGTTTTCCGTAACCCTTTCCTGGCATTCAAAACATTTTCTACCTTCCAACCTTGTATATGACTCTTCAGTTATTTCTGTGGGAGCTATACGTGGAAATTTACTGTTGTTAACCTGCGCATGCTTACGTAAATATAACGCGCTGCTGCGCAAACATTTCCAAACATTCGCGTTCTGCGCTGAAGAAATCACGCCCCCCAGTGCAAATATGCTGAACTCGAGTATTTGCCTCAAATGAAGTGGAAAGCGGCGGCGGCGGTGGGCGGCAGCAGTGGCGAAATCGAAATGAAAGCGAACATTTCCGTCCGAAAGTTTCGATAAGGGCGGAATGGCTTTTTCGATGAGTGTGATTCATAAGTGCTAGTGAAAGGACGAGAACAGTGTTCGTTTCTAGGGAATCTATAAAACTGTTTGCTTTCTGGCATAGTTGACTCTCACAGTGGTGCCGCTATGAATGTCAGCGAGAACTGGTCCCTATAGTTCAGATTTGAGTTATTTATCGTTAGTTTTTTTTGCATTTTCTATCACCATGTTATGACTTCACTTATGTGACTCATACTGATTCGTCTTTTGTTGTGGATGTCCAGGGTTCTATTCCAGTTTTTTAAGTTTGAGTGTTTTTCCTTTTTTGTCCATATCTTTGAGGTTTACACACTTTGTATAGTTCTACAACTTCTGTTCTAATTTCTCCTTCTCTTACCACAGTTGGCTCCATCGTTTTACCACTGTTGGTTCCATCTCCCTCAGAAGGTCCCGTACAACAACTGCTTCCTGGCTTAGTCAGAGTGTCACAGCAGCATCCATCGTTTCGTTTGTGCGGGTGGTGCCTGTCAGTGTGTATATGTAGTCTTCCTGCTAGTCGAAAAAAAAAATTGTACATAAGCATCGTTCCGAATGTTGTCAGAGATCGATCACCCGTCTCTATTTCTTTCCGACTATTACAACTCTGCTATTGCGGCTCGAAGGCTAACGAACGATTGGAACACTGTTTTGAGCCTATGGCTAAGTGCATTTTGTAGGCTAGAGAAAATTAGCCGTGTTTCTACATAGAGTTTGGTCTGTTCTTATGAAATACCAAACAATCACATCTTCTTTGCAACCCTCATTTTGCGCCAAATCTTCTTATGTCTTTTCACCAGCATCTGATATATTTACAATGAATTCTTTTCATAGCTAATGCAAACGGTTGATCCATTTTTATATTAGAGCACCCTCTTCCTCCACAATTAAGCATCTCCTGCGTATTTTTGCAAGGCAAAAGTTCGTTGCCTTTCATTGTCGGAGTCTAAATGGCAGGATTAATATGTCAGCAGCGCGAATCCATTAATGTCATATGTCGGTCATACTAAGATAGGCTTATGCATTTCCTGTTCCGTTTAACAAAAAGTAAGCCCTCGGAACTTTTGAAGCTGTAGATTGTTTAAAGCGCACTATCAAAAATCCCTTCTCCTCCGTTTTTTAGTTGCTACAGAATTAGCTAGATCCTCCCTTTTTCTTTTTGTTTTGTTTTCAATAAATCCATTTCAAAACTTCAAGGTTTTCGGCGTTGTTCAGTATGAATCAGCCGGCTTGACATTGCTGTTTTTTCCAACGCTGTTCTCGCCTTGCTGCAATTTCTCACTTGTAATGATTTATGCATTGCTAGACACATGAAAAGGATGTTTTTTGCAGTACCGTAATCGAAACGGAAAAAACATTTGCCAGTGCTGCGGTTCGGTGCAAACACATGGTGAAGGTACGAGGCGGCGTGTCATCATCCTCCCAAGGCTTACCGCCTTTCCTAAATGCACGTAGGCGACCATTCATTGAAGGACCTTACGGTTAACACGTACGGACATGTAGTACCAATACGGACATGTAATACCAACTATTACAGAGTTCCGTAATCGCTATGCGGAAACTGAGAAGAATTAAACGTCCTATATCAATCCATAACAGACTTGCATAGTTTACTAAAACATGGAGATATCTATGTTACTGAATCGAAGCAAGATATAAGAGCTAGAAGCTTGGGGAGCTTTATGCACTGAATACACACAATTTCTAGTCACCTAAAATTTCAAGTGGTCATTCTTACATAATCTTTGGGTTCACATCACCCAGATAAGTAATCCGCGGATCTTCAACCCTTTGGCTTGTCTGCTTAGTAAAAGGTTAAGGTATTACTTAAAGTAGACCTTGCCTAAATAAAACTATCTGAAGGTTTTGAGCTGGTAAGGTTTGCTCCCAAGTATATTTGTCTGGTTTAAACAATGTGAAGGTAGATTTCACGCAAGGTACGACATATGAAGCGCAAGTATGATTACGCACCATGATTTTCAATAGTAAGAGCGAGTCTTGACGCTTCGTCTTCTCGAAGTAGCTTAAGAAGACGCAAACTGTGGATGATGTCCCATAGTTTGCCCTCTACATAAGCTATTCTAAGGTAACCAAGCAGTGAGCTTTTGATTATACCTCTCAGTAGGTCTGGGTTGTTTTGAGACTTACGATTCAAACAAATCATCAATAAGAAAAAGTAACTTGAGAAATAGAATGA